TGAATCTCCTATACCACGATGCTAATCCTAGGAACTGTCGAATTTTCCGTACTGTGCTCGGTATTGGCCAGTTTTTAATTGTATTAATTTTTTCCGGATCCGTTTGGATCCCTTTATTATTTATTACGTGTCCTAAATATTTTAGTTTTTCTACGCAGAACCGGCATTTCTCTTCGTTTATCTTTAAGTTCGCTCTCCGTAATAGGTGAAACACTTCTCTGAGGTGTTTCAGGTGTTCCTCGAATGTCCTGCTTATGATAATTATATCATCCAAATACACCAGTACGTTTGGTTCCAGCTCGGGGCCCAGTACTCGGTCTAATAGTCTTTGGAACGTTGCGGGCGCGGAGTGTAACCCAAACGGCATTACTCTAAATTGCAGCAAACCCTTCCCTGGTACGGTGAATGCGGTTAACGGCCGGCTCGAGGGGGACAGTGGTATTTGCCAATACCCGCTTTTCAGATCTAATGTTGACAGATATTTAGCGCCACGCAGCTTATCGAGCGTTGCTGTTATGTGCGGCAGTGGATATGCATCCTTTTCTGTAACTTCGTTTAGCTTACGGAAATCTATGCAGAATCTATGCTTCCCATCTTTCTTTTTGACTACCACCACCGGTGAGCTCCATGCGCTTTGTGACATTTCGACTATCCCCTCTTCTATCATTTTTTCGACTTCTTCATTTATGACTGCCTGCATTGCCGGGTTTCGGGGTCGGTATCTCTGTTTGATCGGTCTTGTGTTTGTCAGTCTTATGTGATGTTGTATGTGTTTGGTTGGTCCTTGTATTTGTTTAAACATGTTTAATTCCTTTGTTAAGAATTGTTTTAATGTTCTGTCTTCTATTTCCGTCCGTTGCGTCAGTCCTTTGTCTATTATGCACGTATCTATTATTGTTTTCGGTTCTGTGCGTGGCGGCGGTGGTAACATTAACTGTAAGTCAGCCCATAGGTCTGTTCCGATGATCATCTCGCAACCGAGGTTCGGTAATACTATTAGTTGCCGTTGATAATCGTTATTTTGCATTCTCATTTTTGCTTGTACTGTCCCTGTCACCTCTGTTGTTGTTCCATTAGCCAGTCTAACGTTAGTGTCTGTCTTG